GCATGCGTACGGACGGAAAGAATGACCGCGTGCGGGAAAAGCGAACGTTAAAAGTTTTTTTTTTTTCGAAAGGAAAGATTACCAAACAGCGAGCTGAGAGTATTAATAGCCTACATCCTCGGCAGGAAGAGCTAAGACAGTAAGTGGTTTATTTATGTGTTTTTATTTAATTTCACTAACTGCTTACTCACGTTTCATCCTGATGTGTCAAAGATGATTAAAGCTAGCTTTGCATTTATTGACCTCTCTGTCAGCTTTGTGGTATCTTTGTGATTTCACCAGATTTACTGTGAGATTAGCGACTTTCGTAAAACAATGTTGTGGTGAAGCAGCAGCTAAAATAAGAGAAACTTGACCCTGTCCGATTAGTCCTGTAACTAGCCTGTTTTATTTCCCACCATGCTCAGTGGAAGCCCTCTGTCTGTCAGGGACATTTTCTTTCAACAAACCTCGGATTATTTAGAGATTGATCTCCAGCAGAGGATTCCAATAATCTCTGTTAAGCCATGGTATTGGCTCCTGTGTTCTTACAGTTATTTCAATTATTTTTTTTTATAACAGCCATTTCTTTCTTTCTTTCTTTCTTTCTTTCTTTCTTTCTTTCTTTCTTTCTTTCTTTCTTTCTTTCTTTCTTTCTTTCTTTCTTTCTTTCTTTCTTTCTTTCTTTCTTTCTTTTTTTTTTGCATAATCATTGTTTACCTTTTTATTTTCTGTGAACATTAGCATCTCACGCAATAGGCCACGAGATTGTAGCTATCTAAATATGTTAAATATCTCTTCAAAGAGATAATATCCAGGCTAAATAGTGCATGTGCATATGCACTCTTTGATGTCTGTGATATTGCAAAGTATTCTATTTATTATCCATATTACTGTATTACTGTATCATTACATTACTTTTTGTATTTTATGCCAATTGATCATAAAAAAACAAACAAAACGAAAACAGAAAATTCAAAAAAAATTTTTTTTTTTGTTACCTAAGTCAAAGTTCTCCCAATCTGTAAACACTCCTGAATAATGTCTTACTTCTTTAGCAGATGATTTATTCACCATGAGTGCTTTTTGACACACACAGAACAAATATGGAGCAGTTTAAATGAACAGTTGGAAATAAAGGAAATAAAATTATAACAATAGTTTAATCCTAAAATCATGTCACCTCCAGATCATAATGTTCAATATAATTGATTTTGTTGATTAGGAGCAGGAGCCCAACTACAGATATTTACCCTTTGGTGAAGACCTACATTCTGTTTTTGGAGTCTAAAGGTTGATGTGAGATTTTGTCCAGTAGATGGCGCCCTTCTCATCATGATCATATTCTCAACAGTTTAAAAGGGATTAGGATAAAGATCTGTTGCTGCTCTTTGGTCAATTAAGTTTGCTGTGAGTTAACACATTAGAACAGCACTTCAGATGAATAAGCAAAGACTGGTAGATGTAACTTTATGGTAGATGTAACTTTATGGCCTCACTTTATGGCTGCTGCCGTTGGCAAAAAAATTTAATTAAAGACAAAAGCAAACATCCAGAAGAACAACTGAGTCTCCAGTGCCCCATTGTTTTATTTTTCACTCGGCCATAAAAAGTCCTTTTTCCAAACACTGAGATTGACTCAGTGTTTCTAAATTCTTCAAGGTAAGCATGAAACAAAGATTTATTCCTTCTGTTTCCTGCTTAACCCTCCTGGAATAAGGAGGAAATAATGGGATAAGGTTTTATATTAAGCATACAGTACTGTATGCCAGCTCCATAACTACCTTCACTTAATAATTGAAGCTTGTAAGTGAATAAAAAAAAAAACGTATGATTAAAAAATTAATTTTAACTGTTTCAAAGTAGCTCAAAAATATATTTTTGTTGTGGTATTTGAAAGGAACTCAGTTCTTAAGTTGTAACACTTAATATTGTTTTGATTTGAAGAAAGGAATAGCCCGTCTTTACTGACCTGATTTTCAGATTAAGGGAATCGTTATCAGCTATGTTGAAAGGTGAAACGGATCATTATCTTGGTTTAAGAAAGATTGTGTCTATAATCTGAAACAGCAGAATGCATATTTGGAAATGACATTGAAGTTATGTTGCTATTAGATTATAACTAGTGCAGGATCTCTTTGCTTTTCTTTTAAATTTATTTCATCTTTAGCATATAAAATTGTGCTTTGCATTTGATGCATTTGGCAATCCAGGAGTGTGATTAATATAATCTCGTACTCGTACTCGTCGTCTCCCGCTTTATTAATATAATCTTTTTATGTAAATCAAGCTTTTGCTTCTGTGTCAAGTACAGCACAACATGAGATAAACCACAAGAATTAGGAATATATTTGAGAAAGAAAGCATTTATTTATCATTGAGTGCGTTGTTTCAGTATGGTTGGCAATCAAATATCATAACAGTATTATATCTGTAGTAGTAATTTCCTGGGATTGGGGAACTTCAAAAGGTTTCCAGTAGCTTTGTATCTATTCTAAAATTTGATTGTGACAAAAAGTCTATGCCAAAGGACTTCAGACATAGGAAGGTACCTGGCCCTACAACTTGTATGCTTGCTGTAATAAATGACTAATAGATTCTTATAGAAAATATGGGATTTATTGAAGGCAGTTGTCATGTTTTGTGTTCCCAGGGTTTAGTGTGAATCCTCTCCATGCACAAAGCTGCAGCTCCAGTGCAGAGCATGCCTTTGCAGCTCCTCTCCATGCACACACAGCTGCAGCTCCAGTGCAGAGCATGCCTTTGTAGCCTGCAGCTCCTGTCCAATAGATTCAAACTGGGCGCTCCGATCCCACAATAGAGGGCCAAGGAGTGGGAGGATCAGCTCTGGAGCGATCCTGCTGGCTTTGTTAACGCCCGGGAAGCCATTTTGGAAGTCAGCTTGTTGTGCTTTAGCAGATAGCAGACACTTGCTATCTAAAAACTTTACAGTTTTCCTGTCGGTAAACAAGCCGTCGGAGCGGATCGATCCGTCCGCAGTGATCCGGGATCTGCTGAGGATCCGTCAGCGGGATGCTGGCCGCGTCTTGTTCCTGCGGATTACGCTTTAATAGAATAACAACATCCATGGATTACAGCGCGGGCAAGTTGACCACCGTGTTGTAGCCACAGTTTACTGTTGATCTAGTTGTTTAAGGTCATTTTAATGGGTTTCATTTTAACCTTGCTGCTCTCTTTTACCAACAAATGTTTTGACAGCGAACACACCCTCCGGCCTTTGCTAATTTCATAAATGTATCGCTAATCTACAAGATTGAATGCAATTTAACGTAACATATATAACATGATCCGTGTATGTTTTAATTGAAGCGGTGTGTTTAAAAAGACGTGCGCAGTGTGAGTGACGCTGATATCTGTCAGCTCCAAATATAGCGCAGTGAGAATGTTTCAAGGATTATAGTGAGGAGCTGCTGTCAGTCTGAAAGTAAACACGCTTCTTTCTAACGGCTTTCCTGATCGGAGCTTTGTTTTGACGGTAGGTGAACTATTATTTGTCGCAGTTTTGTTGCGTAAAAGAGGCAGCAAAAAATATACATTTGATGCGAGATAAGCCGATTGAAAAGCTGTATTTCTGAAGCATGTTAACCGAGCTGTTATGCTAGTTTTTATGTTATTGTTCAGCCTGTCTCATTGTTATTGCACTAAATACAGTATTATTTAACAATTTTGAAGTTGATTCATTGCTCCCCTTCTGGAAACAAGCTAATCCTGGGTAAATTTAGCTTTTGGGTATTTGTTTCCGTTTATCCCTCTTTTTCGGCTTGGGGAATTAGGTGTGGATTTAGGATTATGTGTTTCGGTTTTTGGAGATTGATTCGTTTTTTTTTCTCTCTTGCAAATGTATTAATAGATAGACTTGAAAGTTGAATTTGACTAAAAAACCTTTTTGCAAAGTGTCAATGCACGTCAAAAATATCTTGCAAAATTATTTAATTTATTTATATTGATTTATTTTCATTATTTATTAATTTGTATTATTTATATTTACATTTGACTATTTCACATTGTCACATGGCAACCATGAATGTGCATTTTATCAGAATTTAATGTTCTATGCTTGGATGAATGACACTTGGGAAATCACTTAACATTTATTTCTCCTGGATATAAATATGATTTAATACAATGATGAAATCAGATATATGAAATTTGTTGCACACCTTTCAAAGCTATGGCCAGCTGTCTAAATGAACAAATTGGACAAAGAAAGGATAAATCGTATTTAATAGCCAAAGGAGACATGGTAAAACTGAAGAGGTATGTGATTTATTAAAAAAACAAACAAACAAAAACATTCTTAGCAACCTTTTAAAAACAAACGATGCACACCAACGACCTTCACCATGAAACATGGTGCTGGCAGCATTATGGTATGGGTAAACTTTTCTTCTGCAAGAAAAGGAAAGTGAATGGGAATGCAGTTAGAGCTTTTAGATCTGACTTTACTTCAACACAGCTAAATAGAGTAATTAGGTCATAAGCAGAACCTTGTAAAACCTGGTAGGAGGGAAATAGATTAATTTTTGACTATTGAAAACTTGAAGGACAATGTTCCTATGGACTGGAGTTTGATATCGCTGGCTAAGATCAAAGCATATTCATTTATTAAAGTGGCCAAATCAAGATATAGGTTAATTTGCTATAAGTTTTACTTAACTAAGCCATTTTTAATTAAACATGGCAAAATATCAATCTGCAGATGTGGAAAACTGGTAGAAACACAAGCAGAAAGACCTGAGACTGAATAAAAATGCACTTAAAATGATTTCTTTTTAGGTAATTTGTTAGAACAACTAAAAGCTAAAGAAACTTTTGAACTTTTTAATTCTGTGCTGTACTGTACATATTTTACAATTGGTGCTTTAGTGCATTATTGTGCCAGCCTAATAAAATGTATTCAAATAGGAGATTTTAAACCATAGGTTTACTGGTACGTCCTCTTTAAAGGAAGTGTTTCTAATTAAAAAAAACAAAAACAACAAAAAACATTGATAAGGAAAATAGGATGTAAAAACTAACAGTAACTTTTATCAGTACTGCACATGCATGATCATAAGCAGAACTGGCACCAAAATCACGGAGAGAAGAAAGTATTTCTTGCTAGATTTTCATATTTTTGTTAGGTTTAAACATGCAGATAAACTGTTAGTGTTGCAGTTATGCCTGTTCAAATTAAGTAGACTCCACTCACAGAGGCTCAGCTCTTAGGCACGCTGCTTCCCGCCCATTGCTTCAGGATCCTCCCCGCCTCTCTACCGTTTCATGGGCTTTCATAATACCAGGCATTACTCAAGTCGCCAGCATAGGGACTAGCTGTCCTCGTGGTTAGTCTGCTTAATACAAACGCAAAGAGGATCGGCTTGTCTCCACCAGCCGCGCACTCTGAGCTGAAGGCAAATTTCTTGCCAGAGAAGAAGAGGCCAGGCATTCATTACAGCTTCACTGGTGTCCATACTCTTCGTCAGCCGGAGCCAGTATGCAGGAAGAGGTCAGCCAACTCTCCTACAGCAGCGTTGTTGTGTTTCTTAGGGACAGGACTCTCTGACGGGGCTGTACAGCGTAGGATTGTTTTTGTTTCCGCCTAGTTTAAGAGCAGTTTTGGGGAATATTTAATTGTTTTTATTATGGTGAAATGAATCATTACTAAAATTTTAGAAACATATGGCTAAAACTGACAAATACTTAGAAGAGACAGACTGAACAATTACATTCAGGCATGTATTCTTTCTATGTCCAGTTTTCTCCTTGTTACTCTACTCCTGACATGTCATATTTGACTAAAGGGGTTCCTATCCTTTGCAAAACAACTTTTTCAGTCTAAGCAAAGAAGAATGACCATGGACTTTTCCCAGCTGCACACATACACGCCTCCACAGTGCGCTCCAGAGAACACCGGCTATACTTATTCTCTCAGGTGAGATCTCAGCGCTGCGCTGCAGCTCAATAACTGCAGCATCAAACATCCAGGTTGTGGCTTTAAAAGTTACATTTTTGTTAGTTAGAGCTGCACAGAAACAAAGTCAGAATGGGTGATTGTACTTTCAGATATCATTCTGTGGTTTTTCAATATATTCTAAAACTGTATAAGTGTAGTTTATGCTACATTTTTTCCGTAAATGTAACTTCTATATGTTGATATATTATAGAGATCACTTTGTGTCAAATATTCAGTCTGTTTTCATCGTCATTTGCTCTAGGCATGGTCAGCACCTTACCAGTAAAGTCTGTGCATGTTGAGGAATGTTACCGTCTTCAGAGCTGTCACCTTACCTCCTTAGAAGCTGTTAGACAAGAGAAAGGCATTTGGGTGTGTAGGTCAGGCAGTGAATTATTATTGGGTGTGTGTGCTGCAGTTTCTGACATCTGTGAGTTGACGTGCGATTACTTGACTATTGGAACTCTGGGCCCCCCATGTCTCAAGGGAAAGTATGCAAGTGTCTCGTATAAAAAAAGTCAAGTTTCAACACAGTCCTCATCAGATTAACTGCAGTGTCAGGTAGATTATATGGTTGTAAACCCAACCCACTGAATACAGCTGCTCTGTCTAGGGAAAGTAAGAACTGTTTGAATAAAATTTAAATGGTAGTATATTTAAAAAATGCTTTTAAATGCTAATCAATTAATCTGTCTATATATATATTTTTTTTGGCTAACAGATTAATAATCTTACCGCCAAAGGTTCCTTAAAGAGGACTTTTTGCTAAATTAAATCAGGTGAAGCAAAAACCTTTTCACTTAAGGAGTTCTGGATAGAGAAAATCAACAGATGGAAAAGATTTGTCTAATCTTAAATTCAAAATGTTTATTTATATATATAATATATATATATATATATATATATATATATATATATATATATATATATATATATATATATATATATATATATATATATACAATTATACCAAAATTTACAATTTTGGTATAATTACTGCTCTAAGTGGATCGCTCTATCAGCTGAATACATGTTTTAGAGTCTCTATACTCCAGTTAATTGTTATTTGATTAATAAATTAGTTGACGAGTATTTCAATTATTGATTAATCACAATTAATCTGATTTATTGTTTCAGCCTTAGTTTAGACTCATTTATGCGCTTTTCATATCATTTCATATCCAAGAGTAGTTTTAGAGTCAGAATGATAAAAACTGATACCAACTACTAAGTCAGGCTGTAACTTAAGGTAACTTAAGACGTGCATTTGTTATCTTGCTTACTGTAAACTTTAAAATAGTGATGGTTTATGTTAATTAATTCACAATTCAGTTTTAAAAGCTGCACTAGTTAGACCACTGCATTGCACTGCATATTAACTTTTATTTGAATCGGTAAGACAAGAAGAAGAATTAAAAAAAAGAATCAGGTCATAGTTAAATGTTAAAATGAAAGTTAAATGAGTTTAAAATTATAATGTGAAAGAAAAAGTACATACTGAAATATTCTGACTTGATGGGTTTTCTAAAGAATCCAGCCTGTTGACTTATGCAGTTTAGGGGGAATTACTAAAAGCTTCCGCCCCTTCTGTGGAGCCTGCCAGGTAGATGGAGAGACAGGAACAAGATAATCGGGTTCCTTTGAATGCAGTCAGCTGAGAGGCTATTAATGAACCTCCCTGTTAGAACTGCGACTCTGATCCCAGGATTAGACTAATAGTTTATGCTTCTTGACTAGCGTGTCTAGAACACTGTGGTACTGCATTTCATTAGGTTTTGGATGCTGAACCGTAATTCTGTCCTCTCCTGAGAAACAGACCTCGGAATGTGGTAAGAATCAAATTTTAAGTCTAATGAATCTAGTTGAATGTGTTGAATCTGAGTGGGTCTGCCTGGTTTTCAAGAGAGCAGTGCTGCGACAGGCAAGGTCAGGTGACAGAAACGGTTGGTTCATCTGTTGTTAAAACTCAAAGGAGCTGTGACAAGTTTCGTGGCAATGAATAGACCAAGTGTAGCAGGAAAAAGAGACCCTCTTGCTACACTCTTGTTCTGTCTTTAGAGAAACAATATTCCAGATCACAAAGTTATAGTCTTGTATGCAGCAGGATGTAAAAGCTTTGATTAAAACAAACTAACATGGTTTTATTTAATGGAAAATGTCCTGGTTTGACTTTAAGAAAGTATTTTTTAGAAAGGCAGACTGATGGATATTTGTTGCTCTTTTCAATCTTAAAGCAGCTAAAAGCTAAACCTATATAGCCTGTACGAAAACATCTTAAATAGAGATAGACCGATTCCTCAGCTGACTGATATTTGTAGCTATTATTAGTTATTTTTTGCTTGTGATATTGGCGAATGTATGCATATGTTCACTGATTCATTAGTCCATTTATCAGCAATACCTATAGATCAGGTGAAGGACACGCATTACTTCTCTCTCCTTTAGCTGTCCTTTACTATTTCGTTTGATTAGTTAATGAATGTTTGATTTTTTTTGTTAAAAATTTTACTTTTCTAACTATTATTATATTGGTGTCGTTTTTATAATTGAAATGGAGGGTAAAAGCAATCAAGCCTCTAAGAATCAGCCCAAAAATAGCAGCACATATTGGGGATCAATTAGACACATGTGAAAATAATTGGTGTTTATGCCGGCCTCTGAAAAAACTCTATCGGTCGATCTATTTTTTTTTTTAAGGCAGTTTTTTAAATACATCGAGTTCTTCACTTTTTCATTTCCAATGTAATGTGAAAACTAAATGTCAGCAATGTTCAACAGGCGTTGCTGTTAGATTTTGGGTGGATATTGATACTGATATTTACGTTGTGGTTATGGCCGGTAGCCAGTTCTATCTAAGTAGTTCCCACCGTCTTTGCTTCGGTTTTCTTTGGGTCAATTTTAAACCTTTCACCTTTAAGTTGGTTACACACAATGCAATGGAAAATAAATCCCTGGTACTTGCACAGAATGCTTACAGACAAGTCATTGCAGATGACTTTTTGGTTTTATTTCTGGTAGTAAGGAGTAGCTAGCCTCTCCATCCTCTGACATGGGAGCTAGCTCGGAGCTTGTCTGCCTGGCTGTGTGTTTCCTGGATGGGGCCGCCTTTTACAGTTGCTTTTGTATCTTCTTCTTTCTGTATCTCTGCTTCTGTCTCCTTGAACCCCAGTCGGTCTCTGCAGATGGCTGCTCACACTGAGCCTGGTTCTCCTGGAGGTTTCTTCCCGTTTAAAAGGAGTTTTCCTCTCCACTGTCGCTACAAGCATGCTTAGTTTGAGGGATTGCCTTTGAGTCAATGAGTCGATGCAATCAGCTGGTTTTCCTTAGATAGAAATCTTTGAATCCACTTGACTCTATTATCTGTTGAACTGTAAAGTGCTTTGAGATGACATGTGTTGTGAATTGGCGCTATATAAATAAACTGAATTGAAAGATGTTAGCAATTGATCACCACAGCTAATTAAACTGGTGTGTCAGAATCATTTGCCTCTCACCAGCTTCTGCTTTTGGGTGGCACTGAAAACACAATAAATGTTTGAGGAATAAATAAAAAAAGTTTTCAACTTGTTATGGACATTAAAAAAGAGCATTTAGCTGCACATCTTACAGAACAACGGCTGACTATACCCGTGCTGAACTGAAAACAGGTGCGTGTGCGTTTGTGGCCAACAAACCCCAACAGACTGAGTATTCATATTTCATGATTGTTGAAGTGGGTCAGTGGGGCTGGAGCTTCTAGATGGTGTCTAGACATTTCAGTCCTCATATTTGAACTGTAGTGGTTGTAGAGCGGTAGCTCAAGATTATTTTCCCATTGGTAAATTCTTTGATTCATTTATTATTAAAAAAACAAAGGGTGTTTTTTACAGAATATATGCTAAACTTAAGCAACTTGTATTCCCAATTGATAATTTTTACAAACAAGGAAGGATTTTCATCTTAAATACCATTAGAGGACAGAAATGCTGATATGTGTGTATATATATATATAATATATATCTAATTAAATCACAAAACGAACCTGCAGCTGCATTTAGGTAAATAATACAACTGCAAGAAGTAGTTAGGAAAATTAACTCAATACTATCTTTTTCTCCAGTTGTGAACCAAATGCAAAGCATTCAGATTTGCAGCCGCATCAAGCTGCAGCTCAGTCTAATCTCTATCAGCTGGACAGCTGTTGTGCACCCTGCTGTTGCAGTTGTTCAACTTTTGCTTCAACTATGCTTCAATACATGCACTGTTAGCAAGTTACAGCAGTTAGTTTCAGGAGAAATGGTGCCTTTAACCTTGATATTTTTTTTAACATTTACTCTAGGCACTCTCCAGGATCTTGTAGCCTTTCCGTGTGGATATTTTATCCACCTTTTATCAGTAGGCTACTGCCAGCCTTCCTTGCCTCTGCTGAACTAGATGAGACATAATGCTGCCAGTGATGTGTATCAGGGTCAGGGTGGTGTGTTTAGGGTTTTTGCATGTAGGTCAAAAAGTAAAAGTTACATCTTAGTAGAGCTATTTCTACTACATGGCTTTTGGAAAACTGCTTAATGAGCTTCTTGTGGCTTTCCATTTACCACAGAATTCCCCGTTCTGCTTTGCGGAGTGGTTGATTATTTATTGTTGCAGGTTCTTGCATCTCAGCTGTGAACTTCCGAAGCTCCTCCAGAACTCTCTTTGGCGTCTGGTTGAGTTTGTGATGATGGACTTTCCCTAACTGTCCTCTGTGTGTGTTAGATGCCCATATTTTTGTAAGTTTACAGTTGTGCAAAAAAATGGAGGGGGTCCCTTTTAGATAATTTATTGAACAGTACAGATATTCAAAGCTCTGTATTTTTTGTTATAACTAGGGCTGTCACTAACGATTATTTTGCAAGATCAATCTGTCGATTATTTTTTTGATTAATAATTTGGAAGCCAAGGTCAATTAAATAAGATTTTTTCATTAAATTAAACCAGTTATAGCTAAAACTCTTCCACTG